ATGCTGGCTGGGGAATTCTGGGAGTTGAAGTCCACGCATCTTCAAGTGGCCAAGGTTGAGAAACATTGGGTTGGTTTTCCATGACTCTTTGCTTCCCTCTAGTGTTGGGATGTTTCCCAGCCCAAATATGGCACGCCTCTCCCTTGTCTACCCTCCTTAAAAAAAACCAAAGACTCCAGTTGGGGGTGTTGACAAAATAGCTCCAGGCTAGAAACCAGGAGGTGAGTTCTAGTCCTGCCTTAGGCATGAAAGCCAGCTGGGTGACTTCAGGCCAATCCCATTCTCTCAGCCTCCTACGTCAGGCTCGGGCGACAAGCCGGTCGGTCAATTCCTGTCGCATCCAACGGATCAACGTTCAGCTGATCCGAAAAAAGCAGACCGTGCTCATGCGGAAAAAACGCTAGAGAGAAAAAAATGCTTTGAATGCAAGTGCAGACATTTATTAATCTGCTTACATTAAAATTACATTTATCAGTAGCATTGAATTGAGACCTTTTGCAAAGCTTTCTCATTAATCAGGAGAAAGCAACCTGTGGGTCCTAGATGGCCCCCATCTTCCCAGTCACACCCCTCCCAGCACCCTGAGATCATGCCACCATATGTTGGCAACATAATGGCCACATTTCAGTGGCCTAACTTTTCACATATACCAAATGGCTCCCAAATGACATGATATGGGCCAAGTCAGTGGCTGTTGATGGTTCAACACATCTTTACCTGCAGAAACTAGAGGATGAATCTCAGCTTCTGATTGTGATTATGCAAAACATCAACCAACTGTTGGAAGGACCTTTCTCATATAGGATGAGGTATGATTTTCCATGGTTTTCTTTGTGGCTTAAGACTAAGTGAAGTCAAGGTGTTAAACCCTGAGTCCTATAACAGGAGAGCCTGTTTGCTCTAGTGACTGAGATGTTTAAGTAAGACCAAGGAAGCCTGGGTTCTCCTCCTCCTTATGCCCAAAGCCAACTAGGAAGGACGCACTTCCGAAAACGTGTTACTAAGAAAACTGCATGGACTTGTCCACGGACTTGTCAGCAGTCAAGTCTGACTTGAAGCCCCCCCCCTTCCAAAAAAGGTGTAACATACTTATTTAACTTTTCCACCCCACCGATTTTCAGCCCTACTTTCTCCATGATGCCAGTTGCATTAGGGCTGGGGTTCAAACTCTGAAAAATAAGTCTTTGAAAAGTCTTTCAGTCTTAGTCTCCAAAAGGTTAATTTGCCCCAGCTAAGATTTAGATCTCTCGGTCACCACTAAGCTAAGCTGGGTCATGGGAATGAGCTCTAAATTAGGTATAAAAAATACTAGACCTGCCCTGAGGCCCTCCACCTTGTATTTCTGCCATAAGAAAGCTCCTGGGATTAATGAAACAGAAAACACACACACACACACACGAACACACATAAAATCTTCAAAATTTTCATACCTGAGTTACATAAACGCCCAAAGAGAGAAATGGAGGTTAGAGGAAATGGAGCAAGGAAAGAGAAGCTATGAAAACCTACCCCCCAACTCTCTCCCCCCACCCCCAGTGTGATTGCGATCTTAAAGAGCAAGAAACAAAAGTCTTTCATGCTATTGTGCCAAAAAGTGCAGTGCATCGCGATTTTTCATTGTGGGGAGGGGGCGGGGGGCTTTGGACATAAGGTGAAGTTTCTTCTTGTTATGCATTCACTGCCCCCAAACAGATCTGCAGCTGGAAGGGCAATTTTTAAAAGAAAAAACACTTTATCTTGAAACCCCCTGAATATTTCCTTTTTTCCTGCAGGAGGGGGTTCTGGATGTCTGTTTTATTCTCAAGGTTCCCAGGAATTTCTTTCACTCTTTTCTTCTTCTTTTATCAGCTTGTCGGTAGGAGCAGCAGAAGAGCTTCTACAGGCCCAGGTATTTTCTGCATTCCTCTTTCCAAGCCCACGACCCATCCCTGGATGAATTTCCCGGTCTGAAAAAGAGCCAATGAGAGGAACTTCTACTTAAGTTCTTCCCTTGGGATTTAGTTCCAACGTGAAGCCAAGGAGCAGTGGCGTCCACATGGGAGGTCAAAAAAGGCAAGATGGCGGCCACAGCAGCGCAACTGAAGCTCTGTCTGTGTGGAAGTGTGTGCCCCTACAGAGGAATGGGGTTTTGGCTGTTCTGGAACAATGGCCATGTTCTCTTTATTTATCCCAGGGAGGGTGCAGAGCACTGGTCAAAGGTCTGTGTGCTGAAAGGCAGGACACTCATACACGGTCACACACACAACACACACACACACACACACACACACACAGCTGCCTCATTAGCAAACGAGGGTGCTAGAATGCCACACTCTACCTAGGAGAATGTACCCGAAATTCTTTTCTCCTTTGAAAGAAATCCTGAAAGTGTGCTGAAAATCAAACTAGGAATATCGCTACAACGGGGAGGGGGGAATGCGGAATTTTTCAGCCCACCCTCATTTCCCTCCCCTGTAAAGAGCTAACAGGCCTCAAATAAAAACAAAGCCTTACAGCGTGAGAATCGTCCAACTCAGGTTTACTTCTTCAAGGCAAGCAAGACATTCTGTGGCATGAGTGGGTACCATCTTTCTCCTGGCAACTGCCCTGCAGTTGAGCCAAGATCCACACCGACTTTCCAGAAACAGCGATGCCAGGATATTTCAAAGGTGCGGAGTTAGAGAAGGCTTGTCTATAGCAACCTCCTGGTGGGCTGGTACTGGGGTGGGTGGGGGCACGTGCACAAAGTTTGAATGAATAGCAGCTACAGGAGACATGAAGATAAGCCACTGCTTGGGCTATTTTTACAAGATTCATGTTCCCCCTCTCCTTCCTCTTCCTCTTCCCCTTCCCCCCACCTCCCTGCAGCTTCCCCACATCTTTTCCAGTCTTCATGATCTCACTTGGGATTCACAAGCAGCATCTTACTCTAAAGGAAAACAATGCGTATCCCAGGGAGATCCTCCAGAGCCCTCCTGGCTGGCTTCACCATTCTTCTTCCTCACCTTCCCTTCAGCCATGTAGCGTTGCAAGCTTGGAAAGTGGAGGAACCAAGCTGGAGCAGAGAGTTGTGTCCCTGAATGAAGCCAGACCCTGGAGAAGAAAAGCTGTTCGGTTCCTGTCCCTGATGAAGGGAGAGGTGAAATTGACTGGACCAATGGGCACATCTTTTATGGTCCAGTCAACTGCATCTTCTCCCAGAAATGTTGTACTAAAAGAAAAAAAGACAAGAAAACCAGGCACAGGAAGGAAGGAAATTGTCTACATGACTAGATAAATGGATAAACGTCCATCCCTTCCCATGCGTAAAACAAATATTTTTAAAGCTTTTAAAAATAGCTTCAAAAGTGCTCAGGATATGGAGCTTATGGAGAGGAAATGCATTACTTCCTCGTGCCCAGGGTCCTGGTGAACCCCTGATGCCAGTTCTAAGTTTTCCGGATTGAGTTTGAATCACTGTGCATGAAAAACTGCATAACTGGTTTGCTGAGAAGCGAGGTGGAAGACGTTATGTTTGTGTAAGACATATACACACAGAGTACAGCTTATTCTACAACACCACCTCCCAAACATTAGAAGAGCAAATGCTTTTGGGCTAAAATCTCCACATTTCTGCACTGCAGGAATTTGAGATGCGCCAGGTCAACCCACTATCCCTTTTGAACCATTAGATGCACGTCAATTTGACAGCCATATTGCTTCTCAGCCTCCCTTGGCTACAGATTCTCACCCTGACGTGTCTGAGGACCAAAATCTGCTATGCACCTAGAACCCCCTTCCCCCCTTCCTAAAAAAATGCACTTCAAAACATTGAGTAGATACCATTAGATTCACCTCTCACTGACAAAGTGCCATCACCTTGTTCTGGAAGAGGGCAGTTAAGAGGACCATCCACATTCCATCCTTAAATGAAATAAATTGGGCAACCTTGGCTCAGATTAGAAAATCCTCAAGGGCAGGTTTAGATCTAGAAGTGGAAGCTTTTCTGCAGATGCATCCCAAGAAAAATGCCCTTGAGGTTGGCAAGCTGGTGGGCTGACAGAGGATGCGTGTACACCACACCCCCCTCTCAGTGAGAGAGGGACCAATTGTAGCTCGAGTCTCTTTGACAGTTCGGTTTACATCAATCAACGGGAGATTCGCCCTTGCCAAAAGTCATCTGTGCCAATGTGCCAAACATTTGCCTGAGAAAACACTTCCTGGAGAAGTGGTTCACCGAAAGCTGTGAAGGCTCCCCTACTTTTTTTTTTTTAAACAGAGGAAAGACGGGTAGTTGTGGATGCTCTTCCAAAATGATGCTTTAATGGAGGTAAGTAGGCTGGTTCCATCGGTACCATGGTCTGAAACACACAAAGGCAACACATTCAATTATTTTTTCTGGAAGGTGGGGGCCTTCAGGGGTCAAGGACAGGACAAGGTGGAAGAGGGACTAAGCTGGTACTGAGTTGCCAGATATCTCCCATTCAAGAAAAATGTTCTTATCTCTCAACTGCAGGAGAACAAATTCAGAAAGGGGGCATACAATTCACGGCCTCCGATTTATTTATTTGCTTCAATGATTGTCTCCTGCTTTTCATTCAAGGAAATATCAAAATTCTTCCCCCAGACTCTGCCAAGTTCCCAAGGGGGGAAAAACAGGAGGATGATTTTGAAGGGTAGCTAGCATTTCAGTTTTGATCTACAGACATCATAAACCTTAACTAAGTGAACTAATTTACTAGTATTAGAAGACACTTGCATTCTTAAAAGGTTTGCTTTCAATTGTGAATAAACACTGGACATTACAGTGGACTGGACATTACACTGGACATCATCCCTGGGACCAGCTGGCAAATTTCTTACTCATCCCTACTGTCCATGTGTCTCTCTTGATCTTACACACAGAATCCTCTTAGCCCATAGAATGACACAAGTGGTAAGGCTAATCCCCTCCCTGCAGCCTTACCCAGAGGAGTTGAAATTGGATGAGTTGATGGCTACTTTAGAGTTGCTTTGAGGCATGCCGGGAGTGTTGATGTGAAGTCCTGTGCCAGGGGATGAAGACCGGCTGGCATGGCCAGGAGAGCAGGAAGAAGACACTAGGAAACAGAGAAGAACATTATGAATAAACAGGAAGCACAACAGAGGTAGGGCTGTGTGTGTGTGTGTCAATGGGTATCTCTAACTTTAAGATCTTTTAGTGAGTTCTCTCTCTCACTCACTTTGTTTTTGCACATTGAAATTACATTTGCCACATTAGGGTCCTCATAATCACTGAAGTCCTGCTGCCAGAGACTGTTGTAGTGGCTGTTTTAACTTTACAGAGGCATCTGTGGGCAGAGTCAAAAAATCAAGCTGGAGGTTGCAACTGTGTCATTGGAACCCTGCTTCTTTTTTACTTGTGTGTTAAAAAAAAAGAAGTCAAGGCTTTGATTGCACAGTCACAGCTGTCATCTTGAGTTTTTGGCTCCTGCCTGTTGGGACACCAGAGCATTTGACCCTACATCAGTGATGACTTTCCTTGGTCCATCTCAGGATCTCTGGCTGCTAAGGTGTTCAGGGACACAGTTCTCCAAGCACAAAATGCTTGAAGAATCCGGGGTGGTTTCTTTTGATGAAGCAGTATACAAATGTTTTGAAAATAAAGATATAAAATGAGGCCAGGTCTGCAACAATATGAGAGAACGAGCCCAAAATAGGTCCATTCTTGGTGGAACTTACCTGCACCATGCATGGAACTGTGGGCAGAAAGGGGACCCAAAGATCCTGAGGTAGAAACCTGCAAAAGAGGTGGAGCTAAATCTGGATTGTTTGATCTATAGGTGAAGAGTTGCCCAGTCCCTAGCTGCACGCATGGGTTTGAGAAGAAGCATGACTTCCTTGTCATTGAATGCCAACCAGAGACTTGCAGCCCAGATATGACTGCTCTAGAGTAGACATTTGAACAACATGCTATGTGTGGCATGCTTGGGGGGTCTGCTTTATCCATATGTATGTAGTGCTTCACTTCCTTAATGTTCTGCATTGCTGATATTGCAGCTGGAACAGTTGGGGTTTGCCTAGATCAGTGTTGTCCAAACTTGGCCACTTTAAGATGAGTGGACTTCAACTCCCATAGAATTCCCCAGCCAGCATGGGTTAGGGTTAGGGTTAGGGTTAGGGTTAGGGTTAGGGTTAGGGTTAGGGTTAGGG